AAAAAAAAAAAAAAAAAAAAAAAAAAAAAAAAAAAAAAAGAAGACATTTCAAGAGAGTTTCTGCATAATCTCACTTTTTAAAATTGCATGAACATTTGGAAAATGTTAATAGTAATGGTTACTCCTGGAAACAAAGATTTGAGGGAGCTTTTAACATTTCATTTTATACCTTTTCATGCCATCTGAATATTTTATGATAAGCATGGATTCCTTTGGTAATAAAAAATAGTTTAAAAATTCAAGACAGTATTCCCCACAGAGAATAGAATTGTTATACATGTAGTAAAATAGAACTGATGCCCATGAAAAACCACTGAGTGGTAAAGCAGTTTCAGAACACCATAAAAAACATGTTAAATAAGGGTATATCATTTATATAAAGTGTGATTCCCATTTGTCGGGGGGGTACATGTGTGCATATTCACATGTTATCTTCAGGGAGAGAAGCAGAGAAAGGCAGTGGAAAAGACTAGACTCTTCCAAAAGAAAACAGATTGGAAAATCTGAGTCCCTCTCCCTACCACACACAGCCCAGGAGCAAGGCACACTAGCAGCATCGCACCTGGCATGATGATCTCAGGGAAGCCCAGTTTCCTGGCTACCACAGTGGTCCTGTCCACCAGGTGTGGGTAATCCTTGCGGATCTGAATGGTGTCACCCACCAGCATCTTCATGGTCACCCACAGACCTAGAAGGGAATGCTCATCATGAAGAGTCAACTTCTTCAAGTAATTCTCTCAGTTTGCTTGCTCCACCCTTTCTGGAGGAGACCACTGAAGCAGAGACATACAGCCATGGATACAGTGACCCAGCCCAGGGCCTCTGGGGCCAGACACCTCTGGGTTTAAGTGCTACCGGTTTTGTAGAGCAGAGGAAGCCTCTAACAATTACTGCACCACTCTAAGCCCAGCTTTGTGAAGTGAGGATGGCAATATCCACCTATCTCACAGGATGGAGGTAAGGACGGAATCCAGCAAGGAAACATTAAAGTGCCTGACACACAGATTTTCAGAATACTCCAGTTCCTTTCTTCTTTTGGGCACTAGGACCCATCTCTTGTTTGCTTCAGGAGATACATATCCTATACGACCAGTCTTGCCCAATGGTCTGTCTGGAAGGAAGGCCAAGTTTTCCAGGGTTAAAGATGACCTTCACGTGTCTGCTGAAGAATCGGAAGTTCCTGGGCTGAAGCAGGCTCAGCTGACTCTGCCTGTTGGCAACTTACCTTGCCCTCCACTGTCTCCCTTGGAAGCTATCACTTTGCCCAGCAAGGTGTGTAGAAAGTCATTCTCAGCTGTGACCCTGCAAAGGAAAAGAGGGCAAATACACATGTGCTGCCCCATGAGGTCCCCAAATTATGGTCCAAGGCACCCCAGGGAGTTCCTCAGCCCCTCCATATGCTTTAGATGAAAAGTAAACCTGCTGTGTCAGCTGAGAATATACAGGCCATCAAGAAGCACAGTGCTGTTTTTACTCACACACACACACACACACACACACACACACACACTATATCACACACTATATATATATAAATAAGTGTATATGTGTATACACATATACATTGTTGAATTTATATATATATATAAATATATATAAATTTGAGAACACCAATCTTGCAAGCAAATGTCATTTGTCATTCCTAGAAACCCTCATAAAAAGGAAGGAAACCCACAAAGTCTCCAAGATTTCAGCTGCTTCTGCTAAAACCTAAACAACATTCCTTAATCCAGTGACATGAAGCCTCATAACCTGGATACCCCTACGGTAATTAAGTATGGACAATGTTCTTAAACCAGGGTTCCACTTTCTTGAAGACTCATTTTCAAGCAAGGCAAGGAAGTTTACCTCCTGCACTGCCCTCCCTTCAAAATCATGGATGTGTCTTCCCATGAGGACCAGGCTAGGACTCCATGGGAGGCTCCTGAGACACTCCATTATTAACCCCCTGTCCCTGGTACACTTGTAATTAATGCATTAATCCTTTGTTGATCATCTGCCCATCTAAAGAATAAGCTGCATGATGGACTTGTCCACCCTTCCTTCCTACGCCTGGTACAGCATCATCCTCTGCTAGGGCTGCAGTAAGAATTTGTTGAGTAGCACCGGACAAGTCAGCAGGTGAAAAGGTGGGTGTGCCTGAGTGTCTTGGCACTGAGCCCACCATTCTCAGTCTGCCCTTCTCAGAAAGCCCTACCTGTCCACCCTCTCACTAAAAGGTTCACCTGTGCTCAAGCAGCCCTTCATGGGAAAGGATGGGTGGAAGAGGACAGAGCAAAGCAGGAGATCGCTTACGGGTGAAAAGGAATAAAGTGCTGCTTTTCTTCATCACTTTCTGCTTTCCCCTTGATGATGTCTGTTATGTCCATAACTAGAAAAAGAAAAAAGAAAATGAATTGACACTTTAACTCCCCCATTGCTCCCAAAAAGGAACAACATGGGATGAGATTTTAAGATAAGAAGCAGGGTATGAGATCCCTGTGGGTCAGAAAAGCCAAAAATACAAGCAAGCCATCAAGAGACCACACAGACAGTGAGGCTCCTGATATGCAGGCTGGAAAAGCATCTGAGAGTCTTATCAGAGGGCAAAATGAAAGAGCCAGAGCAGTAGCTAGAGTGAAGCAATTAGGCTCAGATCTAACACATACACTAAATTATCTACCGTGCCTACAAAACTCCCTGTAGGATTTGAGAATTTGGTGAAATGGTCACTGTCTTTTCATAAACATGTTGATATGCAGACATGTAGAACCAGTGAACCCTACAATTCTAGAGGGACACTAGACCTCTGTAACTTCCCTTCAAATCGGCAATAAGATCCATAATACAAGGTAAAAGCCTCTAGCACTAAGGGGGGGGAGGGTTACAGGAATGGGGGACACTGTTGAGGGAAACTAGTTCAATAGAACCAAAACCCTGCTAATAGAAACATTTCAAACATCCTGGGTACTGGTCAGGGAGCTATCAAAATTGCTTGGGTAACAGCCACTGACTCCCATCAGGCAACAGTGAGAAAGAGGAATTAGTATCTGATCCTGACTAGCATCCATTCTCTCTGATGGCGAATTCTTCTCATCCATTAGCTCATCTCACTGCCCCTGGTGTGGCCTGGGTTTGGTTGAAGCAAGCTCCCTAAGGCTCTCAGCAGGGCATATGACCTGATCTAGCCAATCAGAGAGCATCTCCCCGCCCTGAGTAAATGATTTGAGGATCAAGCATTTCCTACAAATATGTAAGCTACTGAGACTTCTATAAAAAATGAGGGGAAAAAGACATTGTTCTGTCTACTGGTTTTTTAGCTGACAGGATGCAAATTTGAAATAGCTGGCTGATATTCGGCGAACTAACTGGAGAGCCAGCTTCATAATAAATGAGCGCGAGGACATAGAAACTAAGACACAAAGAGCTATCATTTCATTCGCGTTCCTGGCCCAGCTATACCTGAAGCAATCTTTCCCCAAATATTTCAGTTACACTAGTAAATAAAGTACTGTTCCACGTGCCCACTACCCCCATCACTACCAGTTTAGATCAGGTTTTTGTCACCTGGCACCAAAAGAGTGGCCTAAGGACAAAGCTGAAGACAAAGGCACACTTTGAAGTAAGGTCGGAGGACTCTCCCTGTCTTAAAGGGAATACAGCGACGACAGAAGTGTCCCGCACAGAGGATCAGGAGGCAATTTCATGGGTCCTCTATGTCCAAATTCCTTATATTGCATGTAATGAAACTAAGGTCATAAAGAAAATGCTTGCCCACGATCACCGGCTGGCTAGTGAGTGACAGTGCCTGCCAGTGCTGAAAGTCAGCTAACTCAACGCAGCGCCTTCTACTTCTCCATTATGTGAGCAGGGTCCAGGGAGTAGCTGGAGAGCCAATGGATTTGTGGTTGCAGAAGACTAGAGCATCCCAAAGTGAGAAATGGTCTAGATGTGGTACACAGGAATTAGAAATGGTACATGATTAAAAATTTACATTTAAATAAAAAGAATAAAACTGGCATATCAAATTGCCATGTTACAGGTGCTTAAACTGTCTTTTTTAAAACTGTGCTTTAGTTTAAATAAAATGGGTCAATCAAAAGAAAATACATTAGGTAAATGACAGTGCAAGCAAGAGGCAAATAGAGCAAAAGCCATGAAAGTAGGACAAGAATGATGAAGTCCCGGAAACCCCAAGAGAGCTAAAGCTTGGAGAAAAATGCAGAGCTGGTGTCGCACTCTGCAGCCTCACAAGGGGTTCTTCCTGGGTTCACCCCCACTCTCCTAAGGTCTATTTCCTTCCGGAACTCAGAAGTACAGTGGGTGACTCATTCTGTGTAACTGCATTTGCTGTCCCGGATATTTTTTTAAAAAGATGATTTGGTCCTGGTAATTAGATCCAGCCTGTATTGCTCTCCCTTTTTCACAGTGCTGGGGAGCAAAGGCACCAAGTGCTCAGACTGCACAGGGCTCTCAGAGCTCTGCTCCCGACCTGAGGGTTGCATTATTCACTGTCCTCATCATAAATCTGGACTTACTCACCCATTATTTCAGTTTAGTCACCAGAAATGTAGTTATTAAAGGGCTGTCTGGCATAAATTGTCCGAAGAGTGGAGCATAACACAGGGAGGGGGCAAAGAAATAATCTTTGAAATTCACTGATATGAAATGTCCACTCTAATAAAAGTTAATCTTGTAGTATATCATACCTGCCACCCCAAAGGGCCTCCTCAGTCCCTGTGTGCATTTCTTTGTGTTAGTATCTTTCAGATCCATCTTCCCAACTCGGACTATTTGGCAAATCAAGTAAATCTTATCCCTGTTGAGATCTTTGTTTCCAAGGTCCTGCAGGGCAAGAAAAAATATATATGTTTATACACATCGTGTGCTGAATAACAAAAAGTAGAAAAGGAAAACCTAGAATTGGTCATTTCTGGAGGATGTGCTTAACACTTGGTACTCATGACCAAATCACACAATCTGCCCTGTAAAATGTAGAAAACAAGGCTGTCACACCCACTACACATATGGAAATGACACCGAGTGACCAGACTCTAGTGCTCAATCCCAAGTCTTCCACCTCGAACTGATAGAGGGAGAGAAGGCTGCAGCGTGGAGGTGGTTGTGTGAATTTCCCATAAGCATGGTAACGGATGCAGAAGTAGCATTTCCTGCAAGTGACCCCTTCAGTCTCACCATTGCTGTGCACCTCTGAGAGAGAAGGCAAAGGAAGCTGGGGAAATAATAAGAGCAGCCACTCTCTTCAAGTGTGCGTGCTGGCTGGCTTGTGTTGGTACCAAACAGCCCTAATGTCTCAAGCCTGCAACACGGCAGAAGCTTACTTCAGATGCAGTCACAGATCCAGTGCCAATGGATAGTGCTCCCCTCACTCTCGTGGGCCCCTAATAAATCTTTGTGGACGCAGGTGCTCCCACTGTCCCTATATGCACATTACTTCTGCTCACCTTTCACTGGCCAAAGCATGGTATGTAGCCTCACTTAACTTCAAGAGGGCAGGGAATTGCACTCAGCTGTACATTTAGAAAGATAAAAGCTGAAACTGAAATGCACTAATGTGTTGTGTCCCATATGTGTTCAGCTTTTCTGAACCCTAGAGGCTCTCTGAAGTATATACCATATTTGCATCTCCATTTCACAGATGAGGAAACTGAGACAGAAAAAGGATAAGGGGCTTGGTAAAGTCTATTTAGCCTTTGACCTTGGAGACACCCAGCTTTGAGCTCACTCACCCAGCCAACATCACAGGGGTCTGCAGGAAGGAACACCACTCTAAGCATCTCAGCATGTAACCTCCTTGCTCAATTCTCCATTGTTCTTTGGGTTGCCTGTCAGCTCAGATCAGGTAGGAAAGAAACTATGAGGCAGGCTGTTGGCACTGTCAGGGAGCAGTTTCCTCCCCTCTGGGATAACTTTCATATGGGAATATTCACTGAAGACAAGCAAATGGCTCAAGCTGAGCCAGGGCCCAGGTAGAGCAGCCAGCTGCAGCCCTTCACTGTGACCGATACGGGAGTCAGGGAGCAGGGTAAGCAGAGTCTGCAACCAGTCAAGGCCTTGATGTGGCCCACAACTGCCTTCCTGGGCCTGTGATGGTTAAATATCGCATGTCAACATGGCTCTGTTATGGTGTACAGCTGATTGGTCACTCCTGTAGATGTTGGTGGTGAAGGTGCTTTGCAGGCCTGATTAACATCCACCATCAGTTGATTGTAAGTAAAGGTAATTCTTTTCCATCATATCTGTGGGCTTCATCCAATCAATTGAAGACCTTAAGAGCAAAAACTGAGGTTTCCCTGAGGAAGAAGAATTTTGCCTCAAGACTATGGTCTAGAAATCCTGCCTCAGCTTCCAGGCTGCTGTAAGAATTCAAATGCAATCTCTGAAAGATGTTTGGATGAGCAATCCTTATTGAGAATGGTGCTCCCATCTACAATGTCGCCCAACCATTTCTACTTCAGCTTTACAAAACCCCAACATTTTAGGGAAGCATGACAATGAGACTTAAAATAAGTGTCGCCTAATGTAACAACTCACCAGTACTCCTGTTATCGTTCACTCACACTTCCTGTATGTCAGCAGCAACCCCACCCTGGGCTGAATCATGGCACATGCTGCTTTCTTATTGCAGGACCAAGGAGGAAGACATTTACAAAGCAGACAAGGGTTGGGGGTGTCAGAAATCACTTTCACCTCAGTGCCAGCTCCTCAGCTGGGAGCCTACCCCTGGGAAGGGACTAACTAGAAATGACATCCAAAGAGGAGAGAAACAGTCCAGCAAGGCACATGGCTGCCAAGACTCATCTCAAGTCTAACTTAAGTGTCACTAAGGCACCCAATTGAAAGTAACTTCCAGTCAAACACCATCACATCACGCTGTTTTAATCATCTGTGTTGCTTACATTGCTTTTTGTCATCAGTCTTGCTTATTTATTGATTTATTTTTTATCTAGTTACTGCCTCCCAGCCCCCCACATCACACCATGAAAGCAGAGGTCTCCTCAGCTTATTGGCTGCTGTATCCCATTACCTCACAGAGATCTTACACATATTAGGTTCTTGTTGTATAGCTCTTCAACTAATGCAAAAAGAGAGAGCACCATAACCTCTCATTGAAAAACAAAGACTCTGAACATCTCAATGGAGGGAAGCAACAGCTTCTTGAACCAACCACCCGAAGTTCTCAAGCTCATTTGTGGGTTGCAGAGGCATCCCATGGACAGAATTCTATGAAGCCAAGATCACAGTTTCATTAATACTGTGTGACACAAATTAACGGATGCCCTTTCCTCCATGTTTGTATCGTGGGTTTGTTCTCTGCAAAATGAAGCACTGACTTATTCCCTGTATTTCTCCTTCTTGTGAAACATCTGTATTGTGGTGTAATCAGGAAGCCCCATGGGAATCTCCTATTTATCAAGAAAATAAATAGGCTCCTCCTTTAACTAATAATAAATAAACACCCATTTTTATATGCCAAGAAAGCTTTGTCTAAGCAATTAAGACCCATGGTCTTTATTCCATGCCTCCAGCCTATTTTTCAGGAAATAACAAACAAAATAAATCAGCTCTATCTCGACCTAATGGCAACATAAGACATTGCACTTAATGGACTGTAACTAGGAAATTATTGTAGAGCAAGGTAGGCTAATCTAGCATGTTGGTCACTCCTGGATCCAACACATCAGTCTGGTCAATGCTCAAATACATCCATGGCTCCTCTTCTGTAATTTCCTCTGCTTACACAGGCAATGCATTTGGGGGAAGAAACCCAAAGCTCATAAATTATATTCTCTCCAAAGAGCTTGGAGACAACATCCTTGTGTCTTAACACACCCTTGTAAGAAAAGGACAAGAGAAGGGGCTCCAGGAGTAATGATAACCTTTATTTTATCTTGTTTCCACTGTCTCCCTTACTCAGAGCTAAAAGGCCAAGTTTACTCTCAGAAATAAATCATTCAAGTAACAGTTGATTCCAACATTTCTGTGTAAATCTTGCCTGGTAAGTACTAGTGTTTAAGAAAATGATCCCAAGAACCCCACCAGACCTTTAGTCATCTATGACTTACTTCTGCTCACAATATTCAATTGAACAAGGCAGTCAACGTTTTAGGAAGGACCCCTTTGTTTTTCCCCTGGTATTTTTTCAGCAAGTTTATCAGAAAGACATAAACCTAAGAAAAGAGCTCAGTTTAATTGTGAATTAAATGAACAGTCAAATAGTGGCTGCTGTGCCTGGTTCATCTGGGCATTATTGGGTGTGTACCTGTTTATGTAATGTTTTGCATGTGTTCTCTGTGTGTACAGAAGTGAGAAAGAAAGAGAGAGGGAGGAAAAAGAAAGGAGAAATCTGTCTTCCTAAAAGATTCCTCAGGGCACAGAGTGCCTCTGCCAGTTTTGTATCTCCACATAAAGCCCAAAGTCCAGCTCCACGTGAAGACCACAGTCCATACTGACCAGTGCACTCTCCACACTTCCAGGATCGGATCGCTATGAGTGTGGAGCACAGCAACCAGAAGACAATGCACACTCACCGTGAAGACCACCTTCAGATTGTTGAGCATCTCAATCTCCTTTGGGAAGCCCCTACTCCCCCATCGTACCAGGTAGTTCTCACTGTGGGAAGAGGAGTGGCAAACTTTAGTGCAAAGTGCTCCACATTAATTCAGTCAAAACACTCACTGAGCATCAGTTCTGTGCTATCACCATGCTGGCTGCTGGGGACACATTGGTGTTTGCTACAGACATGGGTCTTAGTCCTCAGAGATCACAGCTGTATTGGGAGACAGACATTAGATGAGCAGAGGAAAAAATTATGAACATATGTAGATCCACACCCTCTTCCCTCCCCCATCTGCTAAGTAAATTCAGGCACAGCTGCCCAATATTTTTGAAGAGTAACTTCAGCCTTTGTAGAGGGTGTTGAAAAGTCAGAGATGAGAAGGAAAGGATTTCAGTACACTTTGCTGGACAGCAAGAAGACATTCACCCTCTCCAGCCTACTCTTCTTTCACAAATGAGTGAAGATAAGACTTATTTTAAATTGCCCTTTGAATGTAAGATCTTTCCTGGAATGGAGGGTCGTATGATAATGGAACATATATCATAACATGCTAACCGTTACCTGAGATATACTTAACTATTTAAATGCTGTTGTAATGACTATTTATACCAGATTGTACTATAAAGGAAAAATTCAGGATAGTTTGACAATGTATTTCAGAAGGGCTTGAGCTGGTCAGGGTAGCCAGGGAGGCCAAGTATTTGCTGAAGAATGGAAAGTAAAGTTGATAAACAAGAAAGGAAAAAAAGAGAAATGTCTCAGTCAAGATTAAATGTGTGTATAAAGACCATGGGGCAGGCAGGAGCTTGATACATCTGTAAGACAGATTCAAGGGTGAAGCAATAAGAGAAAAGTTAAGCAAGAGGCGAGACTATGTAGGCCTGGCAAGCCACATGCAAGGATTTTGTCCTGATGGTAAGAACAATGGAAACTCACTGGAGCATTTTATGAGGGAGTAGTCACTGTGCAAGTCCCATTACTCTACGATCCACTAAGACAGATGTATGATCATTTATCATGCCACTACTTCCAGCAACTATACTCCCCCATATGGCTAATACTCATCAGTCCAGTCATGCCAGGAACTGAGCATAAGAACTCAGCTTCATAAAAGCTGAGTACTTATGCAACTTAGAAGAAGCATAGCATTTTGTTGAGTCCAGTCAATAGATTTTCTATGCCATTTAGGAGCATACAGTTGTTGCCAGATAAATGTCCATTATTTTGAGTTAGAAAAAAAAATAACACTCCAAACCCAACTTAGCTCTAGAAGGCAAAGTAAGAGAACCAGAAAAATTAAGGGGAGTTTCTTTCCTTAGAGAACTTTGTTCCCTCTGATGTCTTCTCTTTCCACTCACCCTTAGAAGATTAATGAGAGCAGTTTGAGCAAAATTCAAGAAGGAAATGGAACTGATAGCAAAACTGAACATAGTCCTCGATTAACCAATTGATAAAACAATCAAGCTAAATGTACCTTCTCATCTTATTTTTTTCAATAACTTGAAAATTGAAGTGGACCTAACAGGAAACTAACCAGCACAGCTCCACTCCCCCTAAAATTTTTAAATAATTCATATGAATTATTTATGGACTATTCTTATTGGAATGCATGGGTATTTTTCCAGCACCTTTTATCACATGTATCAAGCCCCTTAGTGACCCAGGCTGCTACATCTAAACAGCAGAAATCAGCAATTCCCTTCCTGGAGAAATAAAATCATAAATAAGGAAAGCAATTTAGAAGACTAAGCTGGGCTCATCCATCCTTGCCCAGAAAGACCTGGATGATAGAATCTGAAGGCTCAAGCCACTGAGGCAAGTGGTACTGCCTCTCAATGACATTGCCCCATAGGAAAAGGAGGCTATTATAATTCCTCCTTGTACTTTTATTGGACATAAGCTTACCATTGACCTGATGCCTGGGTTACTGGGGAGGGGGTTGCCCTATAAAAATTTAAATTTCCCACACCAGATCTCCTCCAAGATCCTCTGGGGAATAACCATGATTCAGCCTGATAGGAAAAGATCAGTCTGAGTCAAGTTCTGTCCAGTCTACATCTGAGCCAATACTGAGGATGCCTAACTTGCTTGTTGCTCAAGGTGGATAAAGCCTGGCTAGAGTAGACAAGAGAGAAGGAAATTTCTTCCTTAGACAAAGAGCAATTATTCAGAGTTGACTGACTTGGGAGGTGTTTCCAGAGCCCCTGCCCCTTGTCTAAGTCAGCTCTCTTCTTCCGCTGTTTCTCCTCCTTCTTGCTCTTATTGGTCTTTGCCATTTTTGCCCTTTCCTTCTTCTTCCCCACTACTCCAGGGCTGCCCACTGTCTCAGGCAGGCATCACTTAGACATGCCCTCATCCAGACACAGCACATCTTGCATCTCTATCACTTCCCTTGATAAAGGTGGCTCAAGTCATCTATCACAGAGATGGACCCGGCCCCCTTGTTGATGCAGTCAAGAGAAGTTCTCATTCTTTCTGAGAGCGAACAAGGGTCCTAGCTGCGCCTTCAGAATCTTTACCACAGTGTGGTGGTTGCAACTGTCAGGGAAAAGCAAGAGGCCTATAACTCACGGGCCATTTCAAGGTGGGCTCCAAAGGAGCAGAAACACTCATTGCCTGTGTCACATGCCCTGTGGCAGAGCCAGGAGCACTGGAATGGCCCTTAAATGTTAAAGACTTAGGTGAGCTATAAAGTGTAGCTTTCTACCGTAATAGTGCTGAAACTCCCATAAGAATCCTTGGAGATATTTGATACAACTCATTCTTTGGTAACAGACCAAAATGGGAAATCACTTGTCTTTGAAGTCAGATGGACCTGAGTATCAATCTCAGTTCTGTCGTTTATAAATATGTATGACTTTGGACAAGTCGCTTGTCCTCCCTGAGCCTCATTTTTCTCACCCAAATGGCATGGAGTAATGAAGTTCCAAAGAGATGATAAGCAAATCTCAGCACAGTCTTCTTACATCGACAACCTCTCCATGTTTTATAAATGTCTACAGGTCAAACATATCAACTAAAGGGCCACCATTCTCCAGGAGCCATGTTATTTCCTCTTATCATCACAACAATCAAGCTCTTCATTTGTTTCATAAAGGCAGAGAGAGCACAGTCTAGCTCCACTTCAATGTATCAACCAGTGACTGTTGTCCCAAAACCCCACTGAAGGCGACAAGAGGTGGTTACCTGGGAGGAAGGATTATTTGAGCCAGGAAGAGGCCAACAGGCTGGCAGTGTGGGCCAATCATACACCAAAGTCTATCTCAGAGGGTTTCAAAGATTTTTTCCCTTCTTTCAGTTGAGGCACCTAGAAGCTCCTCACTTCCTCCATTCTCAAGAACAATTAACAAAGGAGCTATAATAATAACCATCGCCTCTTGGAGCACGTGTGCCAAGTCTGTCCTTCATGTGCTTTCGCTCATTAAAACTCAAAGGAAATGATCCTGAGAGGTCAGCACTCATATTTTACTCATGGGAAACTCAGGTTTAAGATGACTAATGACCAGCATAAGATAAGAAAGAGAAAATAATGAGGCAAAGATGTGAACTTGGACAGATTTTATGGAGGAAGTGGAATTTACACATTCATTTCTCAACTCCCATTTTAAAACTAGGTATTTTTATTCTATCTAGCACTACATATATGAATCTAATAACTTCCTCTTGTTTTCTGATTATCAAAACCTACTGACAACCCCCCCATAACCATAACCCTACCGTGAGATAAATCTGACAGTAAATAATACTTCCACCTGACTCCCACACTCTCTCAAGGAATTACGTCCACATTCTTAGTTTTAATTTCTCTTCCAGGTAAGAATTATTCCCCAAGTGATGGTAGAAAGAAGAGATATTCTGTGTACTGCCAACTCCAACCCCTCACATTCAGATAAGTCAGGCATCCTGAACATTAGGTACCTACCTTATGACCATTTGCTTGTTGGGATCATAGAGAGACATGAAGAGCTCGGCATCTTCCCCAATTCTGCACACAAAATTTCTCACAAAGACATAGAGGCTGTGAGTGGGGGATGAGGATATTCGGGAATACATTCCATAGTCTGGTTGGTCCTTTGACTGAAAGGTAGAAGGGAGAAAGGAGGAAGGCGGAGCACAATTAGTCCAGCACCACTTGAAATGACAGAAGCACAGTCAAGGATTTTAGGAGCCACTCAGGTTTAAGCCCAAAGACTTCAGCATTTCATTAAGCTCCGCTAACAGAAGTTACTGCAATCTTAACAAAGTTACTCTGACTCCATTGGTCTTGATCTTCCTATTTTGGGATGCACTGCTCCTGACTCATTGATTCGTATAACCTTTTAGAAATTAATTACCATCTGTAATTAGTGTTTTTATTTATTTATTTACTTTTTACCACCTTCATTCTCTTCTCTTCTCTGGAATCCAGAAAGCTCCAAGAGACAAGAAAACTTGCCTGGCATTTATGAGATAGATGCTGAATGAATTATACATCTGAGTACAACAACAAAATAAAGTACACGTGGTTATTAATCATCTCAGATCATAGGATAGATGGTCTCTTGAATAATACACAGTCTGGTTAATTAGCCTATTATTTTATGTTTATGATGTGCCACATGCCTGCCTGACTTGTCCAAAACCTATGTTACAAAGCTCACCATTTCTTCCTTGATACGCTCTGTGATTTTCTCTGTGGCCTCCTCGTGTGCATGGAACAAGCTGATGACGCTGGTATTATCAGGGTCCAAGATGTTTCCATCTTCATCTCTGACAATCAGATCAAGCTCAAGGATTCTGCAAAGCAAACACTGGAGGTGAAGATAAATCGGAAGGACGTTAGGCTGCTGGTGAGAAGTTTTTCCAAGTTCAACTGATCTCTGAGGATCATAGAGTCACATAAAAGAGTCTACACATGGGGCCAGGGATTTAGCTCAGTGGTTCCAGCATTTTCAGAGTTCAATCCCTGGTACCTAAATAAATAAATAAATAAATAAATAAATAAATAAATAAATAAATAAAAGAGTCTACACAGTAGGCCTCAGACACCACAGGAGGGTACAAATTGATGTAAGACAACATCCTGGGAAGGTACAGTGAAAGTAACATTGAATTGAATTTTTTCAAAAACATGTATTTCCTGTGATACTAAACCAAAAGATACACCCCACACTTGAATGAGGACATGTGTTGCAGCATTGTTTGTACCATCAAAGTGTTGAATAAAACCCAAAGGTTCATCAAAAGAGAAATGGCAAAATAAACTGAGATCCATAATGGAAAATCATGTTACAAGGTGTAAAAATACTATGTGCTCTTGATATATTTAATGATATACACCCATAGAAAATCAAGTGAGTGTTTTAGGTGAAAAAAAATCAAACAGCAAGCAAACAAAAAAATAAGCCAGATAGGATAACGGATGCATATACTGTATAAAAATATCAACAAACAGAAAAATCCAGATTGAAAACCAAGAGGAGTTACATGTAAGGAGAGGTAGGGAACTTGGGGCTCAGAGAGACGGAGGGGTCCAAGGAGGCACTTGCTTTGTCTCAGTGTGTTTAATGTTTTGCTACACATACACACACTCAGCTATTCATACGTTACTCAATAAAAATTTGATGATAATTGTTGGGGGAAACGATCACAGATACATCGATTGTCACCCACAGCTTGCTCTTCAGCTGTCCCAAGCTTCTTCCAGTTTGGTATTGATTTGTTCCAGCTGCACTCTGTCATTCAGCCTGGCAGCAGGGACACCAACAGCCAACACGCAACACCTACAATATGCTCAGGAGCACTTTACACGGGGTGATTCATTTAATCCTAATAACCCCAGAAGAGAGGCACTCTACTAATTAATATCCCCATTTCACAGATAAAGAAAAGACTGAGGCCAGCAGGGAGGTTAATTAACTTGTTCAAGACCACATAGCTAAAGGGACATTTGGGATTGGGCTGGAAGGGGCAGTGAGTGATAGGGAAAACTTTAATAGCAAAAAAACCTAGGAAACATCACAATGTAAGATAACTTCTGCCCTTTGCTCTGTTTAGTGAGGCATCTAGTCTCCCTAAATGTTTTGTAAATGAAAAGAACCATTGTTAGCTTTTTTGACCAAACGGCTCCCTTCCCCTAGGCTAGAATAGATAACTCTATTTTTTTAATTGAGTTTATTGGTACATTTTAGGGATACAGTACAGTTACATTTATTGTTGGGATCTTGTACCTCTATATGATAGGTCTTGCTTCTCATTTTTTCCCCTTGTCCCTGCCCTCCCTTCACCCCCTCCTCCCCTCTCCATTTACAAACACTTTATTTCCATCTTTTCATTTTCTCACATTTTCTTCTTTTCCCTTATTACCCTTCCCCTACCCATCCCACCCTCCCTATACCTTTAGCCCTTTTCTTCCCATTTCACAATGCCAGTTATCTCATTAGGATCTTATGTACTATTACAGTTTATTCACACCAGAGAAACTATTCGGTATTTACATATACGTGACTTATTTATTTCACTTAGGAGTATATCCTCAATATGTATCCATTTTCCTATGAATGAATCTAATTTCTCATTCTTTATGGCTGAGTAATATTCCATTTTATAGAAAAACCACATCTTCTTTATCCAGTTTCCAAATGATAGGCAAATGGGCTGTCTCCAAGTTTTAGCTATTACAAACTGTGCTGCTATAAACATGGGTGTGCATACATCACTGTGATAACTCTTAAAGGTAACCTCCCCTAACAAAGAACTGCATCAGGGTCGAAATTCAACTGCCCCATCACCATGTTTTGAATATCAGCAATGTGAACTGTGAAAATGCAATGTAACCAACTGAATGAGATCAAGGCTGTAAAACCCTGTAAAAGAAAGAGTTGTAACCCAGTGGGGAGTCAATCAGGGCACTTCCATTAAGTGTCATTGGCCTCCATTGATGGAGTAAACTTTTTTATTTTACTTCCATTCTGTGGACTGTCACTTGCCAATTCCTTCCATAACAGCAGCACAGATTTGCAAAGACCTTAACTTGAAGTTGCATTTGCATTTGGTTTTGCCTAGAGAACCTGTGTTGTACCAGACCAGAGGGGAAGGTTCCGAGAAGACCAACAGTGGTTTTGCTTGGGCTCCACTCATGAGTAACAGCTTCTGGAAGGGGAGCAAGTTCAGATGAAGGAGGCTAAGTCTTCATACCTTACTTGAGCATCTAGGCACATCTCTCTTCTTACCCAATGGAAAGGAGCCAAGGATCACGTATTTGTCCATAGTCATTGGGAAATTAACTCCCAACTAGATACCTTGTTGCACAGTCATGCTGCATAAGGGGTGATGCCAAGGGGAATAAATGCATTATTCAGCTAATGCTCAGCAGAGGCTTGTGTGACCTCAGGAAAGACGGAGCAGAGCCAATACATAATTTAATGCCAAGATCTCTCTAGGTCTTTCTCTTCAAAATTTATCAATGTGGATTCCATTCTAAAATGTATGAATAAAATATCATGTCAGATCCAGCTATCTTGGGATTTGGGGAAGTCATCTGAGGATCCCTCACTGCTTGGATACCAAAGAGCTTGCGCATTACAGGTCTCACTTGGAATGTTGGATGCTTTAACAGCCACAGCAGGCATGAGAGGATTCCTGGGGCGAGGTCAAGAGAGGCTGGCCTGAAACTGGAAAACAAAACCCCCACAAAACCTTTACACAGCAGCCATTCCTACTGGGGAGCAGAGCATTTTGACACACTCTCCTCAGGAGGGAGCCTCATTGCTATTTTCCTGTCCAAGAAACTGATACTAAGGAACCCAACAGGATGGAAAGGTGAAGAAGCCTCCAGTGTAAACATTTTAAAAAGATGAAAGAGTAAAGCAAACTGAACCAACCCCTGCCATGGCTCCCTGTTGCACTCTGAACTAATCCATGCTTCTTCACCTGGCTCTCAGGGCCTTCTCTGCCTTCCTCTCCAAGTTCATGTTTATCTTGCCTCTCCTCACTTTCAGCCTCTCTCTCTCTCTGTGTTTCTCTTCACCACTTCACCTAGTAACTCCTGTTCCCCTCATTAGATTGGGGCAGTTGCCACCCTCATTCTGCCACTTCCGACCTTGGCCTTGCTTCTATCTCTCTCGATGGGTCTGTCTGCTACCCAAAGTGTCCCTTCACTTCTCCACCAACCTTACCTACTAACCTAGTCCCTGAGAGGCAGAGTAATGCAATGGCCACACAGTTGAACTCTGGAGCTAGGCCACCCAGTTCCGATCACACTGCCTCTTGAGCCAAAGCACCTAATTACTCTGTGAGCCTGTTTCCTTATCTGAAAAATAGGGATGTTAATAGTGCTTGCCTCATAAAGTGGTTATAATACTAAACTTATACAATAACGTGGAAAGTGCTTAAAACAATACCTAGCATAGAGACAGAACTCAGAAAGTTATTCCTAGATCTTATTGCTTATTGTTGTCATTAAAAATTGAAGCTATGCTTTATGTATGCCCACACCCTTGGGCCCTACAAGGTGTGCAACAAAACTTTAACATCCCAATGAAAGGAAGGAAGGGGCATGGGGAGAAAGAGGTTGCTCTAACCGCTCTTCCAAGGCTCAGCTCTACCGTCTTCCACGTTCCTCCTCACACCACTGAAGCTCTGCCCAGACTCTGGGCCTCCTGGCCTTCAGGAAAATGCTCCATCCTATATCAGAGCTATAAGCCCCAAGATATTAAGCCAATGGTAAGGTGCCCAATTCTCTATTGCTCCAGCTGACAAAGACACTGAAGGGAGGAAGCAAGAGGTGAGCAGCCCCTTAGCTTGGGGCCTTAGGCCCTGTGGATATGCATCTCACTCCCCCAAGGAAACTGACTGCAAAGGAAAGCACAAGGCAGGGCTGGGCAGATGGTGCGGAGGAAGGTTTGGCTTAGGGTGGGACCTGTTCTCTTTCTCTCATCATCATCCCAAATACTCATTCAGTTATCACAATGAGAACCTGCTGTGTGCAGTGCAGATCCTCTTCCAAGGCCCAGGGTGACAGATATGAACGAAACACTCAAGGTGAAGAGGAGCTCCCAAGATAGCGGAGAGAGAGACCAGGAAGGAGGCCATTGCTGTACCAGATGTGAAGGGGCTGCCAGAGAACCAAACTCAGCTGAAGTAGTTAGGGAAAATCAGGGAAGGCTTCCTGTGAGCCATGACCATGTCTTGCAGCCCCAGTCATTCTCAGGAGGCTTCAGTGAGGAAATAACATCTGAATGTCACAGATATCATTGTAAAGCAGCAAAACACCCTCAGTTCCCACTCTCCCAGCTGCATGTGTGCTCAGCCAAAGATGCCACCATACCCATGGCACCGGCAGAAGCATGGCAAACTATTCCAGTCACTTTGGGATGACATGCTTTATTAAACAGATTTGGACACGATTGCCAGATGGATCCAGCAAAGGGACTGTGCTTCCGGGATGAAGGTTTGTCGACTTTCTTCTTTGGATCCTGCTCCTAACACACATGCCAAGTACAAGAAAACCTAGCATCCAGTACCCTCTCCTTTTTTTAGTTTAACAGCTCAATTTAACACCATCTCCTCCAGGAAATCTCCATTGACTTCCATCTCCGAGTCAAATTAAGAGCACATTTGCTTCCTAAGTCATGAAACTCAGTACAGTACACGTCAACCACGTCAACCATGTCAACCATATGACTTACTCTTCAGAAGACTGCTATCCCGTGGTGGATAAAAACTTTTATCTCTGTAGCCCCAACACCTAGCAGGAAATCTATCCAACTATAATTGTCACATCCATATCTGTTATTGGAATAAATAAACACATGGATAAAAATTTAGAAGATATTAATAAAACCAAAAGAGAGAGGAGGCCCTTACAGTTTCAAACACTGTCCACACCGTCCAACTCACGGAGTGGCTGAACACACTGCCTAGGTATAAATTCTGGGTCTGCCATTTACTCGGGGTGGGACTCTGGACAAACTGCTTAACCTCTCCAGGAGCCTTGGTTTCTCCCCCATTGGGAAAAATGGAGATAAATAAAATTACATAGAGTTGTCAGAAGAATTAAGTGAAAGAAAGCAAGCACTAAGCTTGGTGCATAATAAAATCTGATCGAGTGTTCGTTATGGTATTATTGTCACTGCTGTTATTATCCGTGGATTGCCCTGCCTCACAAAATTATTTCATTTTCTGTAAAACTTCAGAGCATTCAAATTTCAATCAATTCCTGCTTCCCTTCTCCTTCTCAGAAACCCTTTTGTAACGATGCGTGTGAGTTAGCTGGTGGTGTGTGGCTTAGGTAATTTAGTATGGGAGAAGAGGCATTAAGTTTCACACTGGCATTTAAAGCAGAGTTTTATAAATACAAGGATAAAGTGACAACTAAGCTGAAAGTGAGCCAGCATGACTGTGCTCCCCAATCCCTTGCAACTAGGTTAAATGAGTGTCCTAAATCTCTCAGCCCGATAATAACCACTCCATAGGCCAGACTGGACTCTGCTCACATGGCCCAGAGTCCCAGAGGGGTGATAGCAAAGGTACAACGTGTACGGTTCTGGAAACAGCTCTCCCCCAAATAGAAAGTGGCAAACTTGCATCTAAAAATGAAACCAAGCCTCTCAAGTTAAAAAAGAAAAGGGTCGGGGTGGCAGCGATTCAGCTTTTTGGACACGAGAGAGTTTACCTGTTGCCATAGTCGATTTTGGATGTGACTTTCTGCTTCAATTCCTTGAGTTCATCCTTGGGCAGAGTTCCTGAGAGGAGCTGGGACCTCCACTCCATCAGATCATACATCATGGATTGCACCTGGAGAAAGCGTTCCTTTTTGCTGGCCTAGGAGACAGGTAACAGTCCACAATTACCTATGTGGGATCCTGGATCCTGGGATCACTTGGCAAACTGTGCCAAAATCAGGAAAGCATTTTCAGGGCCCAAAGCTTAAACTTCATTCCCAACCCTATCCAGCTATAAAGGAACAGAGAGGTGGTCCTAATTATTGATATATTTATTCCCCCTTGGGTCATGGAGGTTTTCAAAAAGCAATGATAATAATCATAATTTCTCTCACTCTTTCATTGCTAGTGATGGAACCCAGGGCCTTGTACATGCTAAGCATGTGCTCTACCACTGAGCTAAATCCCCACCCACATTTTTTAAAATTTCAAGATAGGGTTTTTTTTAAGTTTCCCAGGCTAGACTCACTTGCAATCTTCCTGCCTCACCTCACAAATAGTTGGAATTACAAGTGTGCACACCATTCCTGGCCTCAGTCACTTCTTGGTCTTGGTAACTTTTATCCAGAAAGGAGGAAATGGGCAGACCATGAACACTGGCTTTAATGGAAATCTGAGAGATCAGGCTCTTCAATCCTGGGATCCAGGGCCATTTCTCCAGTTTCAAAAGACTGTTTCTAGAATAGCATTCCTCAAAGCATGGCCTGTGTCAGATCTTCAGGATCAAGATGGCTTTGAGGGACCCAAAGTTTCAAGGCCAAGCAACGCTGACTCATCTAGTGAGCTCCACTCTCCTTTCATCCTTCTATTTAAGGGAAAAAGAAAGTCCTAGTCTTATGGTTATATCTCTTTAACACCTCTCACATATTCGTTAATTGCTTTTTTAACAGAAAGAGTTGATTTGGGCTTCAGCGGTTTTGATGGATACCATAGAAAGCATCTAATAATATCCTGTTTCCATTGCAAGTATAGTGGTGCCTCGGTTCACGAACTTAATTTGTTCTACAATTAAGTGGAAAAGATGGCCACATTTGTTTTTGCAGGAAAGATGGCCACAGTTGTGCATGCCACCTGATGTAGTTTGCAAACAAAAATTAAATTGTGTCAAACATAAATTTTACCAAATTATCCACAAATAAAAGCATTTCTGAACTGATGTACCTTTGAATAATGTCCTTCTAATTGTGCTACTTTTCCTTTAGGGAAAGCATATATGGCCATATATATATATGATATATGACAGGAAAGATGGCCACAGTTGTGCATGCCACCTGATGTAGTTTGCAAACAAAAATTAAATTGTGTCAAACATAAATTTTACCAAATTATCCACAAATAAAAGCATTTCTGAACTGATGTACCTTTGAATAATGTCCTTCTAATTGTGCTACTTTTCCTTTAGGGAAAGCATATATGGCCATATATATATATGATATATGAGATATGTGTGTGTGTGTGTGTGTGTGTGTATGGAGAGAGAGAGAGAGAGAGACTTTATTCCTGGTTCCAGAAGCAGTGCTCTTAAAACCCTTGAAATACATATGTAAAGTGATAAAAATGTCCTGTTATTTCTAAGGTGCCCCTTTCAACCATACCTGATTTTATGTTAATGAGGCAACATTTGGCGAGCCCCCTAAATAGCTTCTGGATGGCAGATGGTTGCCATAGGAACCAACTGAGTAATTAATTAAAGGGTTGCAACTTTCACTCCCACTGCCCCTCCTCTCTCTCATTCTCAACTTGGGGGTGGGAGGATGTGGGGTCCTTGAGTTCAATCACCAATGGCCCATGATTTAATCAAGCATGGCTATGCAGTTAAATCAGCCCATTACACCACACAAAAAAATCAGGCCCGTATAAGGCAGTTTCAATGAAAACTTGAGCAATATGGTTCTAGGAGCTTGGAAGACAGTGAACACTGGTATCCGGGAAGGTTGCCCACCTAGAGAGGACATGGAAGCTCTGTGGCCTTCTGGACTTCCCTATCTCTTCAATTTTTCCATTTCTAAGTTATATCTTTCATAATGAAACTTTTGCCATAAGTATATCACTTTCCTAAATCTAAGAAACATTCTTTCTGTGAGTTAGGGAACCTAAGGTGGGTGGGAGATACCTGAACGAGGAAAGGTAATGAGAAACCCTGAATTTGTAGTCAAGACCAAAAGAAATGCCAAGGGCATCTACAGTGAAGGCAATGTGGCGGGGTTGAGCCTTTTAATTTACAGAGTCTGAGGCTAATTCTAGTTAGTGTCTGAATTGAATAGAGGGTATCTAGTTAGTGCTGGGGACTCGGAGAAATGTTATTAGAAGGACACAGCATGATATTGTATGTGAAAAGGGAGCTGGTTTAGGTATCAAGTAAAATATTACACATGTGGTATTCAGAGTTGGTAAAAATCATGGAGATGATACTGAAATACACAGATATTTCAGGATTTCTTTACTAGAGTAAATTCACTGTGGACTAGATATTCACATATTTCCTAGAGGAAAATGTCAGGTTCCCATGGTGTTTGTGTACAGATGTCTTAAAGTGGGTAGTTGAGATGAACAAGAAATCACTTTAGCCACAGTATACTGTTTGCTACTTGCTAGGGGTTGAGCATCCTCTGAGGTTTCATAGATTAAAATGTAATGTCACTTGGGAGGTACTGGGAGAGAGAAAATTTCATCAACTCTAGTGTTTAGAGGTCGGCCCTTTGCGAAGTGATTAAAATTAGACAAAGCCATCAAGTTGGAGCCTCCATGATTGAATCCCAGTGGCTTTACAAGAGGGAGAGAAACCAGACACACACAGTGTGTACTTCCTGTCTTTGGCTGTGTGATGCTCTGTGCCATCTTGGTACCCTGCCCACAAGAAGGACGTCATCAGAGGCAGCCTCTCTACTTTGTACTCCAGAACCATATGCCAAAATAAACATATTTTTATAATGGAGTCTGTCTCAAGTATTTTATTATAGTAATGAAAAACAGACTAATATACCCCTTAAACTTTCTTGACATATTTTGGGAAACACAGAATGAGAATCACATATGCCAATTGCTGTATATTTTGAATGTCTTCATGGGTGTTATCCTGGAAGACCACAACAGACAAGTCTACAAATCATGCACACAACCCTGCAGAGGTGTACAGTGCTGTAACAAACATGCAGTAAGTCTTGGTTGACATTTTCACTCTGCGTTAATGGTTTACTTATCTAATTGCTCTCATTAGGAGCTTTGGAGCATCAAAGGAGGATTTTAAATTAGATTTGCCTCAAAACAGAGAAACACATGCAAAGTGTGCTCTTTGTTTTTTTCAGGGTCAAAGCTTCTTCACAGGCCTGAGGACAATAGCCATCAGTTAATTAATATATGAGAACAGTATTTCTTGAGATGTTGTCAATGGACGCCCAATCAAATCCCCTGAGTTTGTTAAATATGCAGATTACTAAGCCTCATCAGAAGAAGTTTAACCGGCTCCGTCACCAGTTTGCTGTGTGGCTTTGAAAAAGTCAGTTAACTTTTCTGGGCTTCAGTGTTCTTGTGCATAACAGCATATGCTCTGAAATGTTACAAGACAACCTTGGTCCACCTTGCTAAAGACTAAATGCCAAACTTAAAGCAAACAGAAGGGTGCGAGAGCTTCTATCCTAGAGAGCAGTTTGGAGTCTCACCACATAGAGCTGTTTCCAGATGTTCCCCCATTCCCAAAGTGTCGTTGTCACTTCTTGTGCCAGAGGAATTTCCGCTGGAATAATGTTCTCAGTATTTCTATTTAGAGTGGGAAAGAAAAAGCATGAAATTGAGACCCAGGTGCTAACAAAATAAAACCCTAGCAAATTTGCATCAACCTCAGCTGCTTGTTGACATTAGATTCAACTGGCTCTAGAAGCCACCAATTATACCATACAAATACAAGGGACTTCTTTCTCATGTCCTCTGCAGGGGTGGGCTTCTCATGCTCATTATTTAGGGTTAAACTACTTTAATAAGGTTTACAAACAGCTGCCAGTGAAAAGCTGGATCCTCCAAACTGGCTAATTCCCCTCAGAATCACATCTAAAATCAATTTGGATTCGATCACCCATTGAGTGAGGGAAAGAAGACACAAATAAACTCAGGCACACAGACATCGGGAGAGGTGAGTACTCTTCACCTCTGCCAAGTCAGATTTTCAACATCAACAAAACAAAGACATCCACGAGCCAGTAGAGAATCAAGTGTGGTGAAGGATGGAAAATACCTTCTTTTCTCCACTGTCACTTCCTTGATGTGGATAAAGGACGTGGGGAAAATGCCCTGTTGGAAACAATAAAATCAAATAAAAAGACACATCCCTATAAAAATGAGTTACCTTAGGTCTTTAAGATTTTTTCCAGAAGCCACTGACTGGCTTTAAAAACCATTAAGCTTTAAAGGAATAGCAATCACTGAGTCAGACAAAGCAAAGATAAATTCTAGATCCATTTGTTTAGGTCTAGTTGTTCTGGATCCCACAAGTAGCCCTAGATCCCAAAAGATGCACCAACCCCATCTATCAGAGGGGCAGGGTGGGAGCACTGTTTGAAAGACAAGCTAAACGACCAGGTCTACATGAGACAAGATGGGCTTCTTCTCCCCTCACTGTCCATTTTGGGAAAAGCTGCATCCCTTCGTTGTCAGGAACAAGTGGAGGCAAAGGGAGCAGCTAATCTGGGAAGTGACAGACCTTATTTTCACTTGGGCTAGTTACATCTGAGACCTCCTTCCCCTGGGATTATCCCATTTTTCTTTGAGAGACTAGAGAAGGATTGTGTCTCCCAACACAGCAGGTCAGGAAAGAAGGAAGAGATTTCTATTATTTCCTTGCTCCACAAGCTTGGTTCAGATAACAAGGAAAGTTCATCATTTGCTTGGAAATTCCTTCATAAATTCAACCAGCATTCAACCAGGGGAGGCCCGGTCACTGCGGTCAACAGTGGGGGGGGGTTAGGGGATAGGGGAGAGGGGAGGAGGA